CCCCAAAACCCCAAAACCCCAAAACCCCAGATCAATTCATAAAATGTTTGAAATTCAAATTAGATTTTAAAAATATGGAATCTCTATAAGAAAACCAATATAACTCAGAACAAGTGATTTAAGAGGATATTTAGCATGTTCTTACTGACTAGATTAACTAATAAAATATTAAAAATAACCTCGAAACTTAGCCTGAGAATAAGAATCGTAGAAATACCAACTATCCTCTTCCTAAAACAAAAGTTATTGGGGCAAGATAACAAATTTAAGCCAGATCTGGCTCAATTAAATAGAATCCTGCAGCAAAATAGACAGATAATAAATCAAAGATAAACTCACAATAATCAGGTATGCATGAGATAAAATAGACACTACCGATGAAGAGGACATTGACTACTAAGCCAGGGACGTCTAAGAACTACTCTAATCATCTAAAGAAACTTGAGGAGAAGAAGTATCAGGATAATTCATTGAAGGAGCTGGAACGTAGGCGTTTCTAAGAAGCTAAGACTCGTTTGAGAAACTACGTGATCTATCATTCATTAGCTGAAAATAGCGGGCAGGATGAGGTTCTTGAAGAAGAGAGACGACTTGAAAGAGTGAGGCTACTGAGCTACTTCAAGCATAGATATTTCACTTTCGTCAATATAATGAAGGACAGTGTCAGAGCTCGAAGAGTCTCTAAAGGAGTATAGGAGGGAAGACCTCTAGGATTCGGCTAAGACTAAGAAGAGGAAAAAGGACATATGAAGGTTTTTAGTCTTAAACCTCAGAATCAGCAAGTTAAGGGAAGCTAAAACCTATCACCTGAGGAGTAAGATTTAAGTGATCATAACTTTTAAATAGAGCACTGGAAGCAGTTGATCAGGCTATCCAAAAATACAACAGAGAGCATCATTTGCCAGTAGATTCGAAGTTATTTGTCATTATAGGCCACTATGATGATGTGAGATAAGAACTTTTAAGAAAAGGTTGGGTTGAGCACGAAAGACCAGGTGAAGGTGAGAAATTCAACTCAATTGCCTTCAACTTCCTTTATGCTACAAAGTCAAAGGACTGCTTTAGAATCAACAACTTAGCCCTGAATCAGCATATAAATCACTTTGAGGGAACAAAGGCTCTAACAACCAAGGTAGGGTTAACACATAACATGAAGAATCTGATATGGAAGCATACTATTGATATTGACGCTTCGTTCCCATAAAGCTATGACCTGAGTGACCTCAAGGGTGATGAAGTCAAGGATTGGAAGGAAGACTTTAAATACTGCTAAGTCATATCATTCCTAAAATAAGCTATAAACTTCAATGCTTAGATGATATCTAAGAATCTAGATAAGATCATAGTTGCCTTATCCATTTGCGATAAACGACTTTAGGTTAATGACGAGGAAATATTCAAGGTCAAAGATTGGAATCCTGAATTCGAGCCTATTTCTGATGATATTCATTTAGCCATGTCAGATTTGAAATCCCAAGCAAACTTCAGAACATCTCCTTGGTTTAGGAAGCTCTAGAAAATGTACAAGCATTTGACTGAAGAAAATGCTAAGCAATAAATTAAGTTAACTCTCGATAAATTAGAAATACTGCATGGAAGATAATATCATCTGATAGGCAACAAAAATGCTTGGATAGTTAAACCAGGTGGGAAATCTCGTGGCAGAGGGATTACAATTCATAATAAGATAGAGTCAATCATCTAATCTATAGAGACATCAAATGAGTCTATTTGGGTTGTTATGAAATATATTGAGAACCCACTTATTATCTTAAACAAGAAATTTGACATTAGATAGTGGGTTGTGGTAACTAGTTGGGAGCCCCTTAGAATCTGGTACTTTGATGAGTGCTATTTGAGATTCACTTCTGATAACTATGATCCGAATAAGCTACATGATAAGTTCATGCATCTGACAAATAACTGTGTTGCTAGTTAATCAGCCAACTTCAACAACTCTGCTATTGAAGGTAATATGTGGGACTCTACTCAGTTTAGATAGTATCTAAATGAGGAATACAAGCACATAGATGAAGATGTCTACTATAATAAACTACAACCATAGATCAGGCAGGGTGTGATTGCTAGTATACTAGCTGCAAGGGACATGGTTATTCACAGAGAGAACACACATGAGATGTTTGGCTACGACTTCATGGTTGATACTTCATTCAATGTGTGGCTGATTGAAGTTAATTCAAGTCCATCTATGGAGCATTCTACTGTAAGATAAATATTGTGATTTTAACTTATTATAGTAAGTAACAGAAAGACTCGTAACATCGATACTTACTCAAGTTCCTCACTTAGTTGTTGACTGCTAAAACGGATAGATACTTGATGATGAAGCAAACTAAAAATGTGGCAAATTTGAACTTATCTATGCTGAATGAAAATTATAAAGTTATAAATCACTAATAGAGACAGATTATATTCTCTAATTTTGATTTCATTATTTTTTCTTATAAAATTGCTATCAACCGTCAATATGAACTATTTGGGGTTTTGGGGTTTTGGGG